ATATATAAACAGTGCAAAATATATAATTTAATGGAACTATGCTAGAAAAATAAATATGAATTTAAATTGAATTATAAAACATGAAGTAAAGTTCTTCTTTTTAATGTAATGGGTACATTTTAAGTGTGTTTATTTATTTTTTGGCACATATATATATTTATGCTTTCATTTCTAATTATGTCAGTTTTGGTCCTCCATAGATTTGTGCTAAATAGACCGTCAAATGAAATCAGCAACACACGATTAATCCCTGACAACAAGCCTCTTTAAGTTATATGACTTGTATTATAATTAACATGTTTTTCCCCAAACTGACCTAAAAAAAACTTTCCATCAATGTGGAAAACAAACATTCCTAAAGCCAATGAGAAGAGTGTTGCTTTTAAAGAGTTTCCCACAGTAGTTTAATAAAGCTGCCCAATAAAACTCCATCAGGGGCCTAATATACTGACTGCTGAGGCTTTTTTATATCCGACATCATTCTAAATGTTACACTGCTATTGGCCGAGGGATAAAATTGATGAGCCAATAAGACATCCATTATTCCATTACCCCCTGCTAATGTTGTCTCTGGATGCAGCGTGTTATTAATGGAGGTAAAACTTCTTAATCACAAAGTGATGTTGCAGGCGAGAAAGAGCAAAGGCAAGAAATACTCGTTTCAATGAACCCTGGGGGAGTTTGAATATATGTTTGAAATTAACTCCTAGAATTAATCATTTATGGTGTTTTTCAATCATAAATCTATACATGAACATTGAATTACATATGGTAATGTAGAGGAAAGTCTTATTAAATTAACCGAAATAGTTGCATAAAACTGATGGCTGGAGCTTTTTGCAGTCAGTGATTTGTAGTTATAAGAGTCCAACAACAAAGATTTACCTGTTGTTTTAACCGCTGCACATTTATAATGAACTCAGAGCAGCGTGGCTAAACCTCCTCTGCAGATTATATCAACAGTGAGGCCCGGCACCTTGGAGTTATCCAGGCTGCTTGTGAACACAGTCAGCATCAACTTCATATGCCAATTTAAAAATAAATAAAACTCTGCCATAATAAAAATGCATTACAGATGAAAATGCAAGAATTGTTTTAGTGCTACATTGTGGGTGGATGGTTCAAAAAATGACTGGAAATCTGTTTTGTTATCTCCTGACTGGCTTTTTTTTATGTTGACATGACCAGAAAATCTTTTTAAGAAGAGCARGGAAAAAGCACAATTTTTGAAACTGTAATTCTTTTAAATGTATTTTTAAGGAGTCCAGATTTAAACTGTATTCCTGCACCTTTGCTCTGACTTTCCACTCTCCTGCACCATCGCTGGTGCACTTTAGTGATGTGCAGATCGATACTGAAATATCAATACCAGAACTTTTTGCTCTAGAATCCRCAMTAAAATCAAGTTYAGTCATTTCAGGTAATGTATATCGTTAACAGGAAAACAGTAGAAAATAACTAAACTATTGAAATCTTGTCTAAATCAAATGCAGTTGGAGGGAACTACTTTTTCTTCCGCTCAGGTGATGCATAGGCGCAGTGGCACATGCTCAGTCAGTCACGCAGTCTGTAGACCAGAGGTGCCCAAAGTGGGGCCTGTGGGCCAAATTTGGCCCGCCAAGCCATTTGATTTGGCCCACCAGCAGTTATCCTGGTTACTAGATTGTAATCTCCTGTCTTATGTAGAAATACTATATTTGCACTTAGTCTTTTCAAACATTTGTCCAACTATACTATATGTACAAGGAGCTGCACTCAGATAGTCTTAACTTATGGTTCTCACTTTATCTTTAAATTATGTTAAGATTAAACTTAAAATA